TCAGAAACCTGTTCATTCAAGTAATAACATAAGGACAGTAATTGTTCCTCACCCCCAGCAGGCTCTCCTTCACATGGCTAACCATTCACTGGCTGCACAATCAAACATATGACTGAGCACATGAAGGATAGTCCACCAGGGGCGGGGAAGAACTGTGTGATTAATCTTATGCGCAAGGATTTTCTCACCTGGATCTTGACCTTTTCTCTTATCTGTAATGAAAATCCTGCTTTTTATAGGTTATTATCAAGTGACAGAGCATTGACTACCAGAAGAAATAAAGAGAAGCTCCTGGCATACAATTAGCTCATACTCCTTATTTTTAGTCATTTTTCATAAAACAGCAACTATAGGAGTATGAAGTACAAAACCGAGGTAATACATGGGAGTGCCTTCAAGGAAAAATATCATCTCCATGTACACCATTAAGCATTTCCCATTACCCAGATTTTGATACAAACAAGGCAAGATTTATGTGGGACACAAATCTGTGGGAAATATACCCACACAAAATGGTAAAGCCACTCTGTATCAAATCATTCTTAAAATGTTCTTTACATGAGTTGTAGGAATACAATATCTGCTCATCACCTATGGCATGTCCTGGTGCAAACATGGTAAATGATATAAAAACGGGACTGGAATGCAAGAAGGGAATTTTACAAGGGCTGTGTAACACTTACAGTATCTAAAGCAACTGTTGCTCTTCCTAATTTCAGAGAGCCTGACTGACACCAGGGCTGTTTGCTTGTAGGAGAGAAAGAACCGAGATGAAAGGCGTTGGTCACAGGGATCCCACTCTGGAAAGGTTTGCATTTTGGCATCTATCCATTTGTTCCCCTTAAGGATTTGGGGATGTAGGGTCCATTTGTAAGTTTTTAAGGATGGGTGGGAGCCCTTTCTGGAGGTATTTGAAGACACCACTTTTGGATGTAGGCTTTGGCATTTTAGTCAATACTGGGGTGTTACAGACTTGTGCAAGTTTCAGTTGATTAATCTGGGTCTTTTTGCCATGGATAAAACAAATTACCTTAAAGAGTTTTTAAATAAACATCCAGAACAGTTGCCTTATTTTCACCTTTGGCATAATAAAATATTCTGCAGACAAGAAAAATCAGTAATTGCCAGCTTAAGAAAAACCAACAGGCAACTTGATGAACTTGACAAGAAATCAGAAAAACCTCCTCCTTATAAATTGTATCCTGTTTTGGCTTGTGAAGATGTAAAAATGTCTGCCACAGTAAAACAACTACCATTTGATGCAGTCTCATTGTTGTAGCTGTTAGTTATGTGCTGTCAAGTCAATTTTGACTTATGATAATTCTTTACAGGGTTTCCTAGGTATACTCAGAAGTTTATCATTCTTGAGTTCAACTGGGACTATGCAGCTTGTCCACGGCTACACAGGCTGGCTTTTCTCCTACAAGGCAAAGTGGAGAATTGAACTCCCAAACTCTTGTTTCACAGCCAGGTACCCAATTCACTGAGCTACTCAGCCAGTGCAGCTATTATTGCTATCTTGCTATTAAACTGTTGTCTAGAGGAGTCACTTGTGCACATATGCCCAAGGTGAGCACTCCCTAGGAAGAGCACTTGGGCAGTGGGCTCCCAATGAGACTACAGCAATAACCTTGATGCCTGTAAGGTGGTCATACACTGGGGCTGGGTAGCTTATTGGTTTCCAATAATGAATAATGTTAATGTATTCTTTCAACTGAGTTTTAACCCCTGACTTATAGAAGAAGGAAAGAAATAGCAGGTGCATGTGAAGAACGGTCCTATAACCTGTGACCCTGTTAAGCTCAGTCAATATGTCCAGCGTGTGTAGCTACATACTGGCAGAGCTGCTAGCAGGGGCGAGATTTGCAATGTGCTGAGCAACCATTTCTGTCTTCTCAAGGTTCCGCAAGCACAGCTGAGGCTTTCTGACCTCAACAAAAGCTGCTTTCGGAGCCTGCTAGCTGGTGGTCAATCTGGAATGCAGTGCTTGTCACATGAAAACTCTGCCGGGAAAGAGGCAGGCTATAGAAATGATGAAACTTTTCAAGAAGCCCAGCAAACCCAGAAACTAAACAAAGGAAGGCCTTTGTCAAGTCAGCAAAAAGGAAAAAGAAACATTTGTCAAGAAATTAATAAGAACAGTATCCCCCCACAACTCTATATTTCAATGTTCATTATAATCGGTTCAAGGCTTTACTGTAATGAGTCTTGGAGTTTTCCTGAAGGTTCTTACAAAGCATCACTCCTGTGTGCCTATTTATATACGTAGACTTGGAAATAACCTGTAAAAATTAAGATGTCAATATTAAATTTGTTGTATCAGGAAATTTTAGTCTTAGCATGCTGTTCCACAGGGCATCTATCAATCAACTGCTCTGGGAGAAGGCCTAGACCTCTGTTGTTGTTCAACCATTCCAGGTTTTTGCTTCATTCAAATAAGAACATTCATTTGACAGCCATTGAGCAGTGGCTAAAGAAAAGTCTGAATCCAGATCTTCCCTGCATTCACTACTGCACATTTCTAAGAACAGCAGGAATTTCTACTGAGTGCTGAAACCTCAAAATCTGTGACTGGAAATCTCATGGTTGGTAGTTTGCAACAACCAACATCTGTAAGTTCCTGATAAAACATTTCAGTTCTTGGGCTGGAGGATTGTTTACACAACTGGTGCAATATTTACTGATAATAATCTATTTAAATCATAATTTCCCTTTCTCTTGAAGTAGATAACACTTCCTCTCTTGTGTCTGAATGGACTTTGTTGAGGTTTCTCAGCTTCACAACAGATTCCAAGAAACTCTGCAGTTACACTTTACAGGATGCTCTAATTTCAGGACAGGTGCAAGATGTGTGAACTGCTAGATAGCTCAGTGATGTAGGTATCTACCTCCAGAGCTATAGATTGGGAGTGTGATTCCCCACTATGCCTCCCTGACAGAGGATGGATAATCCACAAGGTCCTTTCCAGCTGTGCAGTTCTAAAATGATTATTATCATAATTCAAAAATACCAAACACAGTCAATCAAATATAATTCAAAAATACCACAGTCAATCAAAATGATTAAAACTTTGACTGGTATTAGATAACAGATACAAGTTTCAACCAAGAACTTAAGTATCTGTTAAATATAAGTGCAGTATCATCATCATTATCATTCAAAAACACCGGGCACAGTCAATCAATACTATAAAAACATTGACTAGTATTAGATAACAAATACAGTACAAGTTTTAACCAAAAAGCTAAATATCTGTTAAATATCCGAGCAGTATGTATCCTGTTCCTAATATTGTTGTTTTTTGGAGCTCTGATGGTGGTGTGAATTCTGAGATTTGCAACTGTTTATAGTACTATGTGAAATTTCTTAATATTGTTCCCAAAATCCCCTATGGGGACCACTGAAGTGTGTTTCTTCCAGAAGCGAGATGTTTCAATTGCCAGGTCTCTGTACTTTGTTAGTTTTTCCAATTCTTTATTTTCAACTCTGGCATCCCCTGGAATTGCAATGTCAATGATCCAGAGACATTTCTTTGTTCTATTACTACTATGTCTGGTGTGTTATGTTCAAGGTGTCTTTCCGTTTCAATCTGGTCTGGAAATCCAACAAGATCTTGACTTCCTTATTTTCTGACACCTTCTCTACCTGATGTTCCCATGGGTTTTTGGAAGCTGGCAAGTTCTATTTTTTGCATAATGACCACTGCACTAACTTTGCCACTCTAACTTTGTAACCTGTTTGGGCAATCTTTGGACACAGTTTCATCTTTTTCTTGGCAGAGCTGACATTTGCTGTTAGCAATAATTCCTTGGATCTTGGATCTTAGCTTTCATCATGTTGGAGTGCTTGTTCTTGTGCAGCAAAAATCAAGCCTTTAGTTTCTTTCTTAAGGGTCCCCAGTTTTAGCTACTGTATATTATTTATTGTTATTGTTATACTTTGACAGGGCAGATGTCTGTTATAGTACACTGTGATCACCACTGAGATAATGTAGCTCACGCGCCTTCACTGATATTAGTAAATTTTCAATAGGATCTGGGAACTGAGAGCAAATGGTATTATTTATTGTTATTGTTATTATACTTTGACAGGGCAGATGTCCGTTATAGTACACTGTGATCACCACTGAGACAATGTAGCTCAAGTGCCTTCACTGATATTAGTAAATTTTTAATAGGATCTGGGAACTGAGAGCAAATGGTTGCCTCAGACTTTCAAGTCCTATGAGGTCCTTCCTCCTTTATACAATGAAACGTATACTGCATCCAGGGTCGGGGGATGCATTTGCTAGCTCCAATCCAGCAACTGCATCCCATCCACAAACCCACTCATTAGGTCATGTCAAGAAACAAACGGCCTCGCTGGAATCCTTCAGTATTTGTGTTAATTCCCCTCAGAATTTAGAACAGAACATTCAACCGACAATGCTTGTTCCGTGGAGACAGCTGAGTGTGCACATTTAGTCAGGTAAATCAACTGTGGAGAAAGGAAGTTCTGAACATCCACACAAGTCTTTGAGCTGTGGAGGATGCTTATGAAGGGGAGGCAGGACGGGCAACCGTAGCCTTCCAGATATTTTGGAAGTGCAACTCCCATCATCCTTCATCGACTAATGAGAACTGTAGGCCAAAACTGTCTGGAGGGGGCCAGTTGTTCAACCCTGGATGACAGCTTCTGGTGTTTTTGATTCACTGAGCAACAAGTCAGCTGCTACTAAGTTAACAGCAACAACAATATTCCCACAGCTCCTTGACAGTATCTTGAAAAAGAAGAAGGCCTCTGTGGCCATGGACTCACAACATCTGGAGGACTACAGACTCCTGGAAAGAAGAGACTCAGGCTGGCTACTCTTGGGGGCAGCCCAGCTTCCCTCAGAACACCTACTTTGACTCTGACCCTGTCTTCTTAATTACCCATGCATCCCGCCTGAATATCAACCAAGGTCTAATAAGTCATAAAGAGCATGATGCCATCTTTGTTAATAACCACTGACAGTCGCTAGATTCAATCCTGTTTTTATATCTGTGTAAAGCCAGACAGTACAGTAGTCAAAACTATATTACAACAGTTAAATTTTCATTAAGCTACAGAGTGAAACCTGACAAAGAAAACAGCACAATAAAATATTTCTGCAACAACTCCTATGGGAAAAAAAAAAGCTCCGTCTGTGTATCCACAATAGATGAAAAGAACTTTATATTAAAGGGGAAAAAAGGAGTGCAATTTAGTATTGCAATTTTTTTATAAGTAGTCAGATTGCTCAATAGATACTCTGTATGTTTCACTGGTAACAGTTCTCACTTCTAAAGGCCATTCTGGTGCTTTGGCTCTGAGTTTTAACTGGGTAGGATCTAGAGTGAGGAGATGATGGATGTTGTTTTGATCAAAGGTTGTCTGTTGCAGCTCGGATGCATCCGATGTTCCAGGGGAAGCAGCTTCTTGAAAGTGGAAGCCCTTCTTAGTGTGTCTTTTCTTTATGATTGTACACAGCACACTGATTACCACTACAAGGGCAGAGATGAAAAAAACAGTAGTTCCTACAAGAATCTCTGTGTAGGTGTACAAGGAGCCCAGGCCTGTAGATAAGGGGAAAAAAGTACTGTTTAACTCATTTCAACCTGAAGGCCTTCCACATTGAAAATGGTGTCCTCTTCAAAGCAGAATGATCAACAGACTCCAGAACAAGCTGGGGATTCTAACATACCATTCTTGCATTAGAATCAAGGCCCTCCCAATTCACATTCAGTTCAGATATTATCTTTCTTCTTCCTGGATGAGTACTAAAAATCAAGTTCTGCTTTTCTGCTGGATATTTCTCAGCTGGGATGTTTATATATTTCTGTTTCAAAACAACTTGTAGAGGTTGTTGGTCAGCTAGGGCCCATGTGCTACCAGCCACCTCCCTTCTTCTGCTTGGAAAAATTGTGAATACTCTTTTGTTTTTGTTACAAAAGAAAATAACTCATGAACTTACAAGACAGTTGTATTCTAGTGGTGTATGCCACCAGCAGAATACTTGTGCCACCAAAAATAGGATAGCCCACCTGGAGGATGGGGAGAGAGGTAAAAGTGATGGCTAAATCAACATTACAGATTTCTTGGCATGCATGCCTGCATAGGTTATCTAGCTTGGAAATTATAAACCCGATCTCACCCTATGAGTGTAAAAAACCTACTGTGACTGCTTTTTAAATAGCATAACCAACCTCACTTTTATACTCTTGGGTGATATGAGCAGAAGCATAACTACATCAAAGGCTTTGAGGGGCCATGGTACAACTGGAAAGGCCTAATCTCACTCTGACAGCTTAGGAGGCTGCCACGGTAAATTGCCAGTGCAAGGAGCATCATTTTGCTGACATGGACAATTATTTCAAACTCTTCTTCTGTAAAACATACTTTTCAGGAGGAACACCCAGTGGCTAAATGGACAAACTCTTGTGCAAGGTAGCAGGCAGCTTAAGAATGGGAACCTTCTTGAATGTGCACACCTGAATGCGCAGCCTACGGCCAGCAAGCAGACCACTTCCGTGTGCAGAGGGAGATTGAGTGTGTGTCCCACAGAAAGCAATGGAAACGTGTGTGTTTAGATGAGTTCTTATTCTTCCAGTTTGCATTCACAACCCCTAAACACAGGTCAGCTGAGAGGCTAACATTTCCTGTAAGAAGCTGGAACCTCAAGGGTGGAAAAAGAGAATATTCCCTAGGAGGTAAAGGCCAGCTTTTGCGTATCTCAAGCTACATTATGCATTTGCTGTGCATGTTTAAAAGTCGTTGGGCAACTCTGGTCATTTTTGACAAAATGTTTGTCCTTTAAAATAGTTATGGACATTGCTCCAACACCAGTGCTGTTCAGTAAATATATTTTAGAATATCAATTGCCTTTTCTATGACAAGCTTTCCAGACAACTAGCAGATTTAATGGTGTTTGGGAACCAATACTGGTAATGATTAATTCTAACTAGACAAGTTAGAAAACAGATTTAGCAATCAGACAGAGATGGGACATGATAAAAATTTATTTTCCATGTTGGGGGGGGGGACAACAATCAGACAGAGATGGGACATGATAACAATTTATTTTCCATGTTTTGGGGGGGAAGGACAATGAAAGTCCTTCTGCTTCTGGTTCTTGAAATCTGGCTAGATCAAGCAACAAACTGGAAACAAATATGACCTGAAGAACCAGGCTTACACATTGAATACCTGTTCTTGGAGAGAGTTATAAGAATTGAGGTTTTCCCCACAACTGCTATGTTTATGTATGGGAATTTTTTAGTTTTAGAGCTCTATCTTGTGGCTACAAAGAGATGCAGCGGTTCCACATTTATGGATGTAGGCACCTAAAGAATGGAAAGCTATTACACATCAGAAAATCTGCTTTCTCCGTTTCTTGGGCAAGAACACCAACTTTTCACATAGAGTTTTAATACTCTCTTCTTGCCCAATGGCCCAACTGATAATAGGCTCCATTTGGGAAGAAATCAAGAACCTATCAAGAACCATACATTCATGCTTTAAGGATGTCAAAAGCTCAAAGGTGACTCTAAAATCTTTGAAACATGCATTTTTAATTACATGCACATTGCCTCATATGAACATTGATTCAGATATGTTGAGCTATAGAATGACCTATTGAACTGATAAATTCCCCTCCCTCACCACCAACATTGCAATGCCTATCTGTTTTATACTTTTTGTTTGTTTCCTGGATATTTCCTCTCTTCTTCCCATAGTTGTCATTTGTATCTTCTCAATACATTTTAATGCAGAAGCTTGATTTTCAATACCTCATATAGATTATTTATATTTATAACTATCAGCACGACAATTCCTGAGATTAGTAGTAACCCACTCCTACAAATCAGAGGGAGTAAAAAGAAGTTTTAACAGTTCCACGACATGCTCTCACGATTAAGTGGCATTTTGGCAACCCCTAAAAAAAGAGACCACTATTCAGGTTATGCAATCCTGGGTTTGCTGTGGGCCAAATTTAAGCGTATAAACTGCCAAGAGTGTGAATGTCATGTGGTGTTACTGAATTCAGTGAGGAAGTATCAATGCTGGGAGGGGCAGAACACAGCTTGGGAAAAGGTGATGCAATAAATATGATACTGCAGGTGGAAGACCTATTAGGCTGGCAAAGAGAGGACAGCCGCACTCTGTATGCCCAGGAAATACATTTGGCTGCTCCTCAGTCTCTGACAGGCTTCCTTTTTTTGTCCAGTTCCACTCTTTTCTCTCTTCCTGCTCCTGCACACTTGAATGCTCTTCATTGTCACCACACAATTGCCAAGACAACAGAACTATCGCCTAATTGGAGATGGTGAGGAAACGTTCTGCACAAGTGGGCTGACTCATGTGGCAAGCCCACTGTATGACATCCTGTCACAAGAGGCTAGAAGCATTTATCATCACCCTCCAGTTCAGGTGAAAACATTAACTGCCCCTTAGTGCTTCATTGTTTTTATACATTGCTTTGGATACATCTTATGTCACTGCACTCAAGGTTCCTTTGACTCACCATCTTAACGATTTCCAGTATTTGGGGGGTGGGGGTGGAGTGGGAGTCCATCTCAAAAGGATGAATGGCCAGGGGTGAGTATCATAATACTGTTGCTGTAATGATTGTGCTACCAAATACCAATCCTAAGGATTATTTCTGCAAAGATTACTTCTCATTAGATTCTTTACTTTCTAGCCACTCTCTGGTCATCACCATATGTGACAGCATACCATTACACAGTGTTTTCCATATCTAAGTTACAGCTTTAAAATCCCAAGAATAAGTAGAGCTGTAATTTTAAAAATACATACCTGATCGTGGACTACGAATACACAGGGTGCCTGACTTTGTCTCAGAGCGATCTTCATAATCTTCTTTACATTTACATAAGTATGTGCCATATCCATTGAGGCAGATTGCCTCATCACCACATAGTCCAATTCCAGAACTGCATTCATTCACATCTAACAGGTGTAGGAAAATTAGGGTGATTGTTCTTTAACACAGTTCTATACTTCCAACACAGTTTTGTTAAATTACCATTCACATGCCACTCTTAGCCAATCAGTGGCTTCCACTGTACATTGTATTACCACCATGCCACTACTCATATTTCTGGCCCCTCCAAAGTAGTAGCATGACAACGAACAGTCCTGAGCTATAAGGATGCAAGTAGAGGAAAATAAAGCCTAGCAGTGTTAAGCTCTAAAAACAATAACTTCAAGACAATTCCTGAAAACAAAGGGGAAAATCTAAAGAATAAAAATATGTAAATAAGCCCAACTGTTTATACTGTCTGCCCAATCTTGAGGTAGCATGGCATAGAACTGAACATCTTTTTACTGAAGTGCTGGATTCTCTTGCATACTCAGTAGCTTTTAAAGAAAATATATATATAATGTTTTATAGATGGTATATAACTCCCACAAAATTAGCCAAAATGGATGTTACAATTTCAAATCTCTGTTGCAGATGTAAACAAAAAGAAGGTTCTTTTTATCATATGTGGTGGTCATGTAGGAAAGCCCAAAAATATTGGGAAAGGGTTGAAATGCTTTTGCATGAAGTTTTAAGAGATTCCGATAACTGTAACCTCTGAATTTTTTCTTCTAAATATAATTCTGGATTCAATAGACATAATGCAAAATTATTTAGTTATCCATATTTTGACAGCTGCAAGATTTTTTTTTGCTATGCATTGCAAAAAAAAAAAAATGGAGAATCCATCTCAAGATGAATTATTAGCAAAAATCCTGGATATGGCGGAGATGGATAAACTATCAGAATGGCTAGATTCAACAAGAAAGACTAATCATGAAGATTGTTGGCATAAATTTTATGATTGGCTTAGAAATAGAATATAAATTAATATTTGATAATTGAAAGCCAATGATCAATTTAGAATTAGACTATGAATTATAAATTAGTTACACCGGAAACTTATGTATCTTTGAAATGTAATAGATAAGAATGAATACTGTAAAATGTTTGTGTTGATTTTCAACCCCTCTTTAATCCCATGTCCCCATCCCTAATCCTAACCCTATAAAAATGTTTTAAAAAAGGAAAGTAGCTGTCAGGCTTTTGTTGCATATGGTATGGTGATGCAGATCAGATTGTACAGTAGCAATTAACATATACTATCCTCTGATTGCAGTCCTCCATTGATATCAATTGGATTGGAGCTGAAACTGCTAGGAAAACTTTAACACTACAGACCTTATCTTGGAACGGCATTGCTGGAAGGGACCCTCTGCATCATCGAGTTGAGCCCTTGTGAAGGAGGCACCGTGGGGGGAATCAAAGTCCCAACCTCTGGCTCTGCAGCCAGTGGATCCAAACCACTGAGCTATCCAGCAGTTCATATGGTGTTGAACTGCAACTCTCATCAGCTCTAGCTGGCATAGCCAATGAAGATGAATAACGGGCATTCCAGTCCGTGCTTTAGAAGTCAGTCTCATTGATTTAATATAGCTCAATTCTGTATTTGATTAGCAGTTAGTGAAATTGGGTTATGTGACCAACACAGCTATTCTGTGGATATTTTTCTTGCCTAACAGTGGTTTGAGGTAAAATGATACATCCATTATATTATTTACTTCATTATTAAAGGCTGTATTTTCAGTTCCTTAGCTAGTCTGCATCAACCATAATTAATGTAACAATTGCATACATACCTGTCACCAAAACTGTCTGAACCTTGCCAAATTCCATAGATGTACTGCTAAGATTTTCCAGCTGAGAACGCACTAAGTAGGATACATTCTTTTTCTTTGGCGTTAGATGCAACCAAAACATAAGCATCAGGTCTGGGTCTGTTTGTCTACATATAAATATAGATGGAGAAATGCAGATGTATCTTTTCCATTCAGATGAATAGGTGTGCCCCTTTCTCTAAAAACATAGTACATTTCTAATAGATCTATTGTATCAAATTAGAACTAACAGAACACAGGATGTGGATTAAATGTTCTTAGAGGAGGGGAAAGAAAAAAAGGAAGAAGTACCAGTAAGAATATGGCAGTCTATTTTCTATATTTACTAGAGATGTGAATTTCCATTTTTTTCTGGAAAAAAGCATGTTTTTCCCTGTTTTCCCTCCAGAAAAAATGGACACTTTCACAAATTTTGCATCTCTAATATTTACAAATGATATAGAATAGCATCTGACTTCAAAGAGTATGAACAAAATGTCTTACTGTCAAAAGGCTTTTTACTGCCATACCTATCAAAGCTAGTTTCACTCCTTCTTTTTATTTCCTTTAACTTGATTTCTTTTACTTGGTTTGAGAAGGGTCTCACTTTCCCTTGAACCTGGAAGAAAAAGTTCCACTGTGGGTTTTTTTATAGCCACTGGGTAGCCACAAGAGATATATCCATAATATAGTCTCCAATAAAGTCAACTAACTTTAAAATTATTAATAAGGATATTTTTAGATTTAATTTTTAAAATTGTTAATATGCTTTATGATATTATAAGATGTCCTACCTGTCTCTTAATGAACTCTATGAGGGCTTTTTCCTGATTACTTCCAATAGGCGGGATCCATTCTTTGCGTTCTATACCCAAAACTATTTCAAACAGAAGATCTACACACACCAAAAAAAATTTATAAAAATCCAAAATTTGCTAAAATACAGTAAGGATAGTATAAATAGGGAAAACATTCCTGCATCCTATTACTTCATATTTTGACCAAACTCCGAGAGGCATTGGAAGACAGGAGGGCCTCATTCCTGCATCCCATTACTTCATATTTTGACCAAACTCCAGGAGGCATTGGAAGACAGGAGGGCCTGGCGTGCTCTGGTCCATGGGGTCACGAAGCGCCGGACACGACTAAATGACTAAACAACAAATTACTTCATATTAAAAGCCAACAGTACCCTAAGTACTGAAAAGAACGACTGTATCTCTGAACCAAAGTAAGTTGAGAAATGCCTTAAAAGTTCACTCAGCACTTTAAAAAGGACCAGAAGGAGGAAGAGAACCACCTTACCCCCTGGATTGTGCTGGGACAGCAGAACAGAATCATTTTCATTATCTCTGAATACAGACTCTCTCTCTGTGGAGTAAGGACAATGGGAAGGTGTCAGTCAAGTACCTGAAAATGACAGTTCTATTGTAATTTCCATACAATCAAACAGCATTTTATAACCATTTCATTAGCTTAGAATAGCATTTTAAGCACCCAATGCTTGAAGACAGCCACAAAATATTATACAATAATACATATTTTAGTCTTTAGGGTGCCACAAGAATCTTTGGGTTGTGCCCTCCTTTAACCCATTTTCAGTGGTTAAACTGCTGTATTGCAGCCAAAACTGTGCTCACGGCCCGGGGTTCAATCCCAGGTAGCCAGCTCGAGGTTGACTCAGCCTTCTATCCTTCCGAGGTCGGTAAAATGAGTACACAGCTCTCGGAGGGGGGGGGGAATGCATATCCTGCATAATTAACTTTTAAATCACACAGAGAATGCTTTAAATGTGATGGAGCAGGATATAAGCAGCACACTTGCTTTTTATTTTATTTTAAATAACCCATTATTTATATTCTAGAGATAATCCTGATAGTGGCACGGTTTTGGCTGCAGTACAGCAGTTTAACCGCTGCACCACAAGGCCTTTACATATCTAATTCCAAAGCCAAGCAAAACAAAAAAGATCACACTGCTGAAGCAAAAATGATGTAAGAACAAGAAAGTCCTTTGTGAGGACAGACTAAAATGACTGTTTTTATGCATACAACATAAAGCCATCTAGAGGGACACAAAAATGTGTGTGGTATTAGCCCTTTTACTCTATCGTTGCAGCAGCAACAAAAGGAAGTCTTCTGGCACTTCAGAGACTAGGAAATGTGTAATATCTAGAATAAACTTCATCAGATGCAGGAAAACACACTCACACACAACACAGAATACTGGGTACAGGGGAAGAAGGTAAAAGCAACAAGAGTCAAATAACAATGACGTGCAAGAAGTATGAGGTGAAAATTCAGTTAAAGTTTTAAAATATCCCAGATAAGACTGGTTATTCATAGAGTAACTGATGACTGAATGAGTAGAAACAGCTATGGACAATTCTAGATGAGGCAGACTTATTTAGTCACCATGCCTCATCCACAGAAATAGAGGGGTGTGTGATAGGCTTCCAGATGGGCTTGTCTTCAGTTAGTTTTCTTGCTGCTGCTTCTGTGGTTTTTCCTACCCAGCAATCTCCATTAAAGTGGAAAGAATAGAACATCTCTATGGTGTCATTTTATTAGCAGTGTTAGGAGCCATTAATTTGGAAGCACTCTAGAGTACCCAGTAAGATTTTCACTTTTTAATATTAAGAAATTAACCTTACAAAAGAAAAATACAGACACCATTTACTTACTCTGTGCACAGAAGATCTATGCTACTAAACAATTAATCCAGATTTCCTGAAGTATTCATTATACACATGGATCAGCAAGAACTTACTCTGTCACTGATTTGATCATTGCAAGTATCAACCACAAAGAAGGTAAAGGAAGTTAGTCACACTTACCATAGGAAATATTTCCTACATTCAGGGAAGTATTATTCCTTGACACTGAAACAGAAGGGGAGTATGGAGGATTTGCTCTCGTATATTTCCTTTGGGGTTGCTCTCTGTACCTGGTCACTGAACTGTTGGGATGTGTAATCTCAGTCATTCCCACTTTAATGTGCTTTGGGCTACGTGAGAAAATGCCTTGGGGGCTCAAAGTGGTAGCAGTGTCCACAAGGTTATGATTAAGTGCTCTTAAAGACAGATCATGCAACACATTAGGATAGTCTAAGGTGGTCTGCTGAGGTTTTGTTTGATTTGTAGAACTTTGGGGTGTTTCTGTAATAAGCTGAGATTTATTGTTTCCTGCAAGAACTGCTACCATGTACTCATTACTGTTTCTCTTCTCTTGTCTATAGACCTGATTGTCCATATGCTGTCTTTCAAGTGCTTCTCTTAGTCTCACACCTTGTTGATATTCAGTCACATCTACGTTTTTCCTGGAGAGTCCAGAATTAGATTGGAAGGACTCATTTTGCCCCTTCTCCAGAATACTTTTAGGGGATAGAGTTGGAGTTCTCTGCTCTTCAATTAAGACTTGTGGAAAAGTAATTCTACTCTTGAAAGGAACTTTTCCAAACATTGCTTTTACAGCTTCACTGTATGTTGTGATTAGGTGCGTAGTTATGTACCCGCCATTTTTAAGCCTGGCAGATTCAGTCGTAGTTTCATGATCTTTCCATTCTGCTGATTTTGTTGTCATTTTGAGCTTCTGAGACACATGTGTAGAGGTAAGGAGTACAGATAGATCATGCACAAATGGCTTTTCTTCATTCTCCAAACTATTTGATCCTAAACCTAGCATTTTCTTCAAATTACCAGAAGAAGATTCATTCCCAGTTCTAATATCATCAACTGATGGGTTTGCAACATGGATCGCCTTCATAGCAAGTGGATTTGAGGTTACATTTTCTTCTGATTTCATGAAAGAAACTTGTGTGTAGTTACTAAGAGTTGGTTTCACGACTGCTTCCGAGGTTCTAGCACTGCCATTTTCCTTCCAGCTCTTTTTAGTAGTCACTGGTAGCCAACTGTCATTGCTGGGTGTTCCGTTTGTCTTTAGAAAGTCTAAAATATGCCCTGAGTGCATTATATCGGACTTACGGGGAAATCCAGCACTGCTGTTAGATTTTGAAACAGGTTCTTTCATTTCATAATCTTCAAATATGAAATAGCGTCCTTTAAAGTGTTTATGACTATGGTTTTGAGAAGGAGATTTTGACAAAAACACTACATGGACAGCTACAGCCTGTGCAGCAAAGATCAAAGTGTTATGGTTTCTACAAGAGTAAGCTATCTTGCTTTCAACACTTGATGAGACACCTTGGAATATGATCTTGTCCTGATTTTCTTCACAATTTGAGTTCCCTTCAAACCCTTCTATATAAATCAAGATATGTTTGTGAGAACCCGCCCATATGGTCCAGTTACACCAGTTGTTGGTTTGGCTTCTGCTCAGAATGGGAGGAGAAAAAGTTCCTGCTTTATTCTTCAAAATAACATGGCAACTTTTTACAGGAAGATACACCTGTAGCCAAGGAAACCCCAACTCTGTAGGAGGGAAAAAAAGAGATAAAGGGCATGAAGCAACATCAGCTTATTGATTCAGTGTGATTTAGTCTGTTGAAAAATATCTTTTCTCTTGTTGGACATCTTACACATATTTTGTGTGAAATCATTTCTTAGCATTTCATATTCAGAAGAGCCACTCATCTATTTACCCACAAGATATTATACAACGGCTGTACAGAGATCAGAATTTGGTTGAACAAAAGGTCTGAGCAGCTCATTTAGGAGTGCATGGGTGCTATAACTTTAGATGAATTTATAAAAACCTAATAATTGGATGCAAGATTTAACTTCCAGAGAATCTCACTTTTATTGTTCAAGAACATCCTTGTCCTTATTACTGAAAACATGTACTTCAAAATGTATGGGCAATGGCTGCTAAAATTTCAAAAGCCAGAGGAGTGGCTAAAGAAGATTTCTACTGATTTGGGACAGAACCCTTAATGTCCTACATCGCTCTTTGCCCCATCTATGAAAGTCAAAAATAGAAGTAAATATGCAGGAGAAATTATCTAAAGATGCTCATTTTGCATGGTATATAAGGTCACAGGAAGGGGTTATTATGACATAGAACTTAATTTTTTAGTCAATGAAAACACAGCTCTAGCAGTAGCTATTTGACCCAACTTGTTCACTTAATTTTACAGCTACTGTATTCTAATGCCCAGAATCCCACAACAACTAATTGAGCTGAGCTGATCAGATTGCAAGGAGCTGACCCTCTGAAACCAACCTCTCCTCAATATGACTTTCCCCATATTTTTGTCTGACAACCCGATTTAACTTTAACGAATAATCTAAAATGAACACTCACAAATAGTTGGGATGTGTGTAATTCCCCTGTTTTCAAATCACATATCTGAAAGATAACAGTCTGAACAAAATCCAAATTCAGAGTTTGAAAATGATATTTTAAATGGAACACAGAGATTGTTTCTTTTGACTTGGTCCAACTTCAAATACAAACTCTCATAAAACGGTCAATTATTTTGAGATGGAGCCTGTTTTCAGCATGTTTTCAAACCCTGTACAATAGGGTTAAATGCAGTAACGCTATACAATTGTTATTGTATTTAACCTATTGTGTAGGGTTTGAAAACAGCACACAGCACCAATATAAGTCATCAACTAATAACCAAACAGGAAACCTGGCACTCTTTGGAGGTTCTCTGGGGCTTGTGAGTGAAAAGAACAGCTGACCTGTCAGTGCTGATCTTCTGCTGCAATGCTGAGCTCTAACAGCCTGTCAAGTGTATTGCAGGGCTCCCATACCGTTCATAACTGATAATGGCAAGGCCTAAAATTGTTCCAGCTCTCCAGACTGAATGTGTATTTCAGCAATATAAGATGCATTCCCTGGTAAATGGTGAAGCAGAAAGCTCTCCCAGAAGGCAGAAAGATTTAAAAATCTATGGTTACAATCCTGTTACAACTGATGTAAACCCAATGGTATAACTCTCATTAGCGAATTGCCACCAGTTAAGTAGTCAAAAATTCCATTCTTGCCATGTGTTAAGTCACACAATTGGTGTGTGACAAGAAATGGAAGCACTGACTTTTGAACTACTGGCAATTCACCACAAGATTTACATGGCAGGACTTTTGTCAGCAGATGTAACAGGTCACTGTGGTTTTAATTGCAGATCAGGTAAGCAGCGCTGTCAAGGACTGACCCCCTTAACGTGCCACCTAGCAAATGGAACAAACTGCTGACAGTCAAATACTAAAACAAACTATTCTTTGGAGGCAGGGACGTCAAGTTGTGTTCGACTAAAAGTGACTCTAACACGACTTTTGAGATATGTAAAGTGTTCAAGGAGTACGCTATCATTGCTATCCCCAAGTGAGTTTCCATGGCCAAATGGGACTCAAACCCAGTCTCATTCCATTCTCTATTCACTGTGACATATTTTCACTGTTGGTTGTTAAATATAAAAAAGAATAATTCAGTCATTAAAGATGGATCTGAAGAATAGTATAATCAAAATCTGGGAAATAATTGTTTAAGAAGCAACTCCATTTCAGCTGTATCTTGCTTTAACACCTCAACAATCCTGTGAGTGTCTACTCACAGTGTAGACACTGTCTCACAGTGTTCAGTGAAACTCGTTCCTATGGCTATCATCAACACCACTGAAAAGAAAGAGCCTAACCATTTCTTGCCATTTCTACTGCTATCCTTAATCCAATGTCAGATCTGGGACACATCTGCCTAGGGCTGACTTCAGGATGCCTCCTGATTCTCCAGAAAATGGAAGCAACAACAAGGTCACCACTACATGGTCTATCACCTGCAGACCACGTCACATTAAGCCTGCAGAGAGACGCCATAGCATGCGGTCTTTTTTGGATGACATCAGACAAACCTTCAGTTTGGTGCTATAGGCCAGTGGTTCTTAACCTTGGGTTACTCAGGTGTTTTTGGACTGCAACTCCCAGAAGCCTTCACCACCAGCTGTGCTGGCTGGGGTTTCTGGGAGTTGCAGTTCAAAAACACCTGAGTAACCCAAGGTTAAGAACCACTGCTATAGGCAAACTGCTACAGATATAGCACCAAACTGTTCCATTATTTGACGCAAGTATCCGCTGATTGCAGCAGCTTTCAAATCATAGGAAAAGGCTCTAAAAGATATATTTCCAGTATACAGGCACAAAGTTGTTATAACTATTAGAAATGCTGGGAAAACTATCACACCTTGCTCACCCTTCACCCTTTTGTTCCCTTTAGACTAGTGCTAAGTGAATGCAACCCGCCAAGGAACTATAATCAATACCTAAATAGTAAAACATGAAAAGCATACCTCTACAGTTCAAAAGTGCTCTTACTTTGGATGCCATTTTATTGTCTAAGCTAGATGGTCCCTGTAGAGCTAGTAAATCTAAGTTATCCCACAGAACTGATGTCTCAGTGAGAGTTCCTGGAGCATCAAGATCAGCAACAATACATTCCATGGCCCCCCATTGCCATTTAGCATTATGAAGCTCTCCCCAGGATTTTATGGCCCCTTTGATTTGTGCTCCTCCCTCCTCTCTCACTTCTAAGGGCACAGGCAACTGAGGTGGAGTCTGCATCTCATTCTGTGGCAAGAATGGAATCATGATGGTGCTAGAGGTAACAAGATCATACTGAGTTATGTTTGCGGATTGCTTCTTTTTACTCATCGCTGGCAAAGATACGAGAGGCATTTCCAGGACAGAATGATTCAAAACAGAATTTGAGCTCAGTGTAAATCTATCAAGGGAAAAGCAGAGTTTAGGCTTGGATATGATGTTCCAGGGTTTTGCTGTGTCTCCTTTTTCTCCCTCTTCTCTAGACGTTGCACCAAAGCAGTTGTCCTCTCTTTCTCCTAGCAGCAGCTGCTTAAGAGGCTCTTGGTGTTCCAAACCTGCATGATGACTACTATACAAACCAGAGGACAGCCCAGCAATGAGTAAGGGATCTTCCTGTCTGGGAGTGCTAGCCATGTCTTGTGAGCATGCACAGCTCAGAATCATCTCATTTTTAATTGTGTTTGCCATCTGTAATCCAAGGGAAGGAGTAACTTCATTAATGAGGAAGAAAGAAGCCTCTGCAGCTGGTAGGAAGTCTTCTGGAGATCTGGGCTCTAGCGCTGAAGGAGCTGGAGAAAGATCCTCCAGCTCAAAAGGTTCCTGCAGAGTAGTTGCTGTTCTAGTAGCGGCACAGCACAGTCCCAAGGGAATAGACTCTACTTGTCCAGCATTTAAAGAAACATCCAGTTCTCTTGCTGAAAAGATTCCAGGCTCCAATTCCAAAAGGACAGACTTTTGAAGGATGGCAGACACAGGAAGGGTTTGATGTGGTCTTACAGACAAGGAAGGATAGGTCACTGTCATTGATGGCGAGAGGGCATGTTCCAATTCGAAGGAGATCGGCTCAGGAACAGGAAGAGTGAGTGACAGAGTTGTCTCTGTGCTATGAAAGAGGGAAGGCTTTAAGGTCAGGGCTGGCAAAGAAAATTCATCTTCCACCCTTAAGACAACACAGCAGGAAAGCCCAAGTTCTGCAGTAACTAATGGAATTGTTGTGGTCTTGCTGGGGGAGAGGAAAGGCTCCTGCTTTGTAGCTATATCCAAAAGAAAGATGCTTTGTGCAGCTAAGTTAACACTGTCTGTTCTTCTTGGCATCTCGGAAGCTAGATTCAGAGAAGGGTTAGTGCTGGACTGTTCATGGTAGCTGCTTCCGGGTCTCAAGTTCAGTTCTACTTCCAACACACTGGATGGCAATGCTGTAGCCAAAGGGGCTTCTGGCTGGTTGGTTAACTCTACAAAGGTTTCTGTAACGGGACCAATATCCCAGAGCTCAGTATTGCTCTTTAGGACTAGCACATTTCTGGCTTCCCGTTCATCAGATGAATTGGCATAATTGATTATGAGTATAGAACAATTTGCCTTGCTTTCTTGTTTTCCTCTTTCTTGTGTCTTTGCAGGAACAAGCAGGTAGTCATTCTGGCTTGTCAAGCCCATACAGGTGTGTCCCAGACTGGAAAGCGAGGTAGTTCCAAAGACAACGACGCCTCTGCCCATTGCTTCATGCATTGCTAGTTGAACGTCTCCAAAACTCTGATAAATTATGGATCCAGGACTCTTTCTGTCAGTGGTCACCATGCTAGAAGGAATCATTAGAGAAGGCATAACCATGGCAAGATAATCCTGCTGTGTTAATTTACTCTTCATCCATTGATAATCGTTCATAAGAAGTCCCAAAGGAGAACTTAACAGTCTGCTTGGATGTCCCATATCTTCTACAGGACTAGCAGCTTCTGTCAGTAGTCCTGACTCTACGTAAGAAACATCTGAAACAACATTGGAAGAAGTGGTAGACTCACCCAGGCCCACTGGGATTTCTCCATTGTTCATTCTCCAGTGCACACAGTCCATGACTCCTATTAATTTATCAGAAGGATTTGGAGTGCAAGAAGAATTTTCACTGCCCTTCAAAGCTGTGGACAGCAAGTGGAGACTTTTTGATTTTCTAGCCGAACCTGTAATTGCTGTGATACTTGCACTTTTTCTACTTGTTTCCAACAACCCAACTGTTTGATTGTCAGCCTCAAGACTTTCAGAGATGTGAGCATTTGAACGGTTAAAGGTGAACAGTAAAGATGCTTCCTTGGCTTGAGGAATGCTGGTTATGGCTGTGAGGACTAGTTCCAGAGAAGGCATTGCAGAGCCAAAGGGATCCATGGAATCAGGCCTTGCTTCCCTGGGCTGGAAGATATAGTATTTGCCCACAAATCCATCTTTCTTAGTAGGATTGGGATGCCTCGTCAGGGAGATCACATGAACAGCTTTAGCATAGGTAGCAAAAACATGGGTCTCTTTTCCCCAGCAAGCATAGACCACAGTGTTCTCTGCAACCGAAGAAACTCCATGAAAGAAAATCTTATTCTCATTTTTGTCACAGCCCTCATCACTTTTAAAGCCACTGATATAAATAATGATGTTTTTCCTAGAACCGGCCCAAACAGTCCAGTTGCACCAAATATTTCCTTCAAAGCCATTCAGGTACTTTGGGGGATAAAATTCTCCATATTTCGTTCTCAGTTCTCTATGGCAGCTTCTCACAGGGATGTACATGGATATCCAGGGGGGATCTAGCAACAGAAGGCAAGAAGATGATAAATGTTATCAGGACCGAATATCTCCAGACAATCTCCCTCTGGTAAGAAGAGCCTTCATGGCCATTTCCTCATCCTTCCTTCCTCTGAGGAGAAGTTGTTCAGTTTAGTTTGCATACACTTTTTTCAGAGTGCAAAGATATTATAAACAGACTTCCCCCTGTTAACAAGCTGGTATCCTGTTCATTTTTTTGTGGAGCACAACATCTCCATGGCCACAGCACTCTTCATTTCCCCCATCCACCCTCCGGCTTGTACTGCTGCAAATGAAAACAATCTCTGCTTATTTTAAGTGGGGCTTTCTGCTGGGGTAAGGGATAGGCAATTCCCCCTAAGAAATCTGTGACCAGAGAGGAATTGTGCATGGAGTGGGCCATTCAATGCACACTCTGAGATCAGCAGCTCACTTGGCAATGGAAGTACTTCTGCTATAGGGAGGATAAGCAACTCCTCCCTCCTTAGGAAAATCCTGTTTGAAAAAAAATTAATTTAGTGGTTCATGGTATGCACTCTTATACAGCAATAACTACTTAAAATGGACAAGAAAGAGGGATAATAAAAAGGAACAGGAACAAGTGGCTAGACAAGGAAAACTTAACTACCCCCATTGATAGATTGCACGTTCAAATCCACAGAAGTAACCAATCTTTCTTTAATATGTTTATAAATCAGGTTAGCCAGAGTAACTCTGGCTCTGCTTCAGCCCATCTGCTGGTTCTTAAAGCAGGTGCTCTAGTGGTCTCAAGTATTTTAGTCCACGGTTATCAGTCACAGGACATCCAGGAAACAGATGGGTGGGGCTTGAGAAAGGACTGTAAAGCAGCCAGTTTAGCTTCTGTTAGAGGATGATGCCAAGGGAGCAAGAATTCAGGAGTGTGGAAGATATGCAGGCAAGACAGTAACATGCAATGTTTATCTTGTGCTTTTAAATATTTTGAAGCATGTCAAGTACTGTGGGTGGGGAAATGAAATGAAATTTTGAGAGGCCGTTGCATGAAATATCATGGCAGAGGCAAGTTTTCAACTGATTCATGTCTTTACCTCATTAGCACTACAACAGAAATCAGGACAGCAAAAGTGACCAACAGCATGATATACTCGAATGAAATATAAACTCTTACAAGGAACAAAAATGCCCCCGTGCCAGCACACAAAGTGGAATACAAATAGTGATTCCTCACTGGCTCTGTCACGAGTGTAAGCACGAGTGTAACCTTGTATGAATAGAGGTAGTTCCAAAAGGTTCTGACAATATGTCGGTCTGGCCAAAACCAAGAAGAAGTAGTTTACTTAGAGAGGGCATATCTTGTGAAATGTGTTCAGAGATTGAGAAAACATGCCTAACCATTTCTTTTAGGGCCAGTTTGTGTACACCACTTTCCAAAAAATGAAACAGAATTTTACATATGTAGGATTCAGATAAGTGTGGGTGTTGTGAATGTCAAAACCTGAGAGGTCAGGTTTCTCCCTGCTGATTTGGCTATTCTTGTGGCTCTGGTGAAAACTGAAACCCCACACTCACCAACTATTGCTAATAAGTTATTCTATGAAACAAAGTCCAATACAGCAAGCAACACATGGTCCCATTTCCCAGCCCACTGCCTGAAGCAGAGCAATGTCGAGGTTTATGCTGTGTTACATGCACTGCATACGGTGTTTGGCTTTTGAACTTTGTATTTAGCAGTTATACCAGCAGTTGAGTTCAGGGGCCAGACTGTTCAGGGGCCATCACTGTAGCTGTAGAGAAAAGACAAGCCACCCACGGAATGTATCAGTTACTACAGATGAAGATGTTTTGTTTGATTTTTCTCATTGTTACAGTTCTGCTTGCGATTTTAGGACATTGATCCAAAGTGTTAATTATAAGGACTTGAAGACACGCTGCTTCAGCTACTACCTGATTCTCTGCTACTTGAGATTTCTTCAAAACCATTGGCTCAAGATCATGGCACTGACAGAACTGAGGAAAACTTGCTTGATGGAAAATGATAAAGAACCAGGCCTTTGACAAGATACAGGTGGGAATGCCCACTGACGGTCAGATGTGGTGCATGGAACTACCAGGTTAACACACACACAAATATTAGAAATTGCAACACAGTTATAAGCAGCCTTCTATCACAAGAGTAAAAGAATACTTTTAAAAAATTAATTGCAAGCCCTAGGAACATGGGTGTTCTGAAGATGCAGGTCATATTTTTTTAATCCAAAAAACAAGCAAGTAACCATTTCCATCAGTTTTCTGAGTTTGTCTGTTTCAGCAACAACAAAAATAAAAACCTCATGGCACTTTTGAGATGAACAAATTTATTTCAGTGTGGGTTTCTGTGGATTGCAATCCACTTCTTCAGGCAAACCTTTTCACTAGGGTTAGCACAAAGACACAAAATTGCTCCAGAAACTCTTTCTCCTTATTTTAGGGGAACCCACCCAATCCTAACTAATCTATACTAGCGAAGATGTCTGAGGACTGCCTGAACTGACACTAAGCCATCTTGAGACCTTGCTGAATCTAAATTTCTCCCAGCCTAGGCATGCTAGAATTTACTTAGGACTACCCTTGACCCTGGCCTGACTTTGTGCTGGCATTTTGACTGTGAGACTGGACTGAAAAGGGTTTGGATCTGGTTTTAACTCAACTCCTCCCCACATCTACCACCTCCTTCTACTGACTGATCCACAGTCAGCCCATGCAAGAACCATCGTGCCAGTGCAAGAGACTTCCATCCATTCTATTCTACACTTAGTATAGGCAGCATATCTTTGAGTATGGCTTGCACTGCTAACTAGAATAGAATAAACCTGGTAAAAGAACAAGCCTGATAGACTCTCCCTTTCCTCTCCCCCAGCCTCAACAAGGAAACTATCTGTTTTAGTTGCTTTTGCAATTCTGAAGGTAGGCTCTCACTAAATGATGGAGTAAAAAATACTGCATATTTCAAGGATTGGCTTGTGCTGGGCTTCATGAGCTGCCAAGCAGCAATGAAAAGAAGGGGAAGAGAGTGTTTTGCATCACATGCACCTGCAATCAGGTAAGTAACTAAAGTAACTTGTAAGGAGCTTCAGACACTTCTGAGAGACTGGAGACAATTACTTTTGATAAATTGTAACTATGGTAGTGATTAGCTACTTTGGTGACATTGGAATTATAACTATCCTAATTATTTTTAAGTAACTTTCCAAACTCTAGGTGTTCCATTCACTAGGCCCAACCTCATTTAAGAGAGTTTGGAGCCCATGGGCACACAGTGCTATTGAATTAGATGGAGGAGTTCATTTCCTTTATGAGAGTAGTATAGAATTAAATCTTACCTGATTTGAATGGCTGGGATTCTTCAAGAGATTCATCTGGCTGTTGAAAAAAAACAAAAAGATTAGGCCATATTCTATAGGTCTGCAGTTAGTTGCCTCATTGTCACATAAAAGATATGGTGAACTTCCTACCCTCCTGTCAGTCTTATTAATCCTTCATCTTGTGCTCACTGACACTTAAGTGTCATAATTGGGTTGACTTTGAAGAAAACCCACAGTCAAGACTGCAAGCAGGCTGTTGCACTTATTAATCCTATATGCGTAGCTGCCTCAGTAGTACATAAGATATAAATTAGAGAATGGGGACACTTTCACAACTCACCGACAGAGAACATGTGTTGTTTTCAAACCTCCCACTCAAGGCAATGCCACTACTCACCTGTTTCTCATCTTTTACTCCATCAAAATCTGGAGTCAGTGGAATCCTAGGAGATTGACTGGGGGTATCCTTTCCAAACAAGAAAGAGGAAAGCAAAAAAAGAAAAAAAGGCAAAAGAAATAGTAATTTCATTGTCAGGTTTTGCCAACTGCCTTCATGAAACAAGTTACTTTCTTCTTAGATTTCTCATAATATACTGTGCTTCGTTGGGAGCACCTGGTTTCATTTTGTGGCTCGCTCTCTCCCTTTCTCTGTAAAACAAAAAGAGCTTCTTACTGGAGGGGGAAAGAGGAAGCTCTGAAGGCCCTTTATTTATTCATTCCCTCCCCACTCATTATCTAATCAGATTAAAAGGTGCCATGTAGCAATCATTAAGTAGCAGAGAGCTTCTTTGCTTGGGAAGTCTAGATACCCTGAGAGCACACATACTTGCATACTTATTCTGAAGTAAGTCTTATTGTTTCTAAATGGGGCTGCCCCAAATAATGTTTGAAAACTTACAAGCAAATATTTCCGATCACAGACCTGCCACATGTTTGAGGCTGTAATATGTCAGCAGGTATTAAAGCCAGTGAAAAGCTTAATTCTATGCATGTTTATGCTTATGGTAAATCTCAGAGATTTAAAAGGCATTATTATCTGTGTAGTATTTTACATTCAACTGAAACCAAATAATGAAAGATTTTAAGGGACACTTACAATACAGAGGCAGTGCCTGCAATTTCCAAACAAGAGCTGTTGCTAAGTTTTGCCAGAATGCTTATAACAAGCTCTTTTGAAACTGTTGGTGTGGCGTCCAAAGGGGTTTAAAGGCTGGAAAAGATGTCCTCTAGCTCACTCTGGTGGCGAAATGGCATTTCGGAAGCACACAAAAGAGATTTGGGGAAAAATCTCACAGCAGCACCAATTGCTGGGCAATTTTTGCATGCCATAATTTCTATCTCCTGTAAGAACATTTTAAAAAAAACTTTTACCTCTGCATGTCATATTTGCATTAAAAATTCGATGAATTATAATGTAATGGTAAATGACCAAAGTTTCATGTTTACCCTATGACATGGGGTTAAATTGCCACAGTAATTTCCTCCCTTGTTTGTTTGTTTGTTTGTTTTGGCAGGGCTTTTGTGCCTTTAAAAGCCATAAACAAACCAGTAGTTCAACTAGGAGGAGAAAACTTTTCATGCGATAGAGATGCTGAGATACACCTGATACATTTTCCCCTCATCCAGCAGCTGTGATGGGCTGGCCCAAAAAACTGTTTTGGTGCACACTGTAGCCACAATATTAGGCACACCTGAGTCCCATTGAATGCAATGCAGCTTACTGTGGGTAAGCATGCCTATTATAAGCAGATGAGTCAGGGTCTACCTTAAGCCCCAAACAGCCAGCTGCACTCCCTAATCACATTGTCACTAAGATGCTGTTTTAGGACACACAGGGACACACAATACATGCTAATACATTCCCACAGCTTGGTCAAGAGATTTGGGGTGCTGTAGTTCACAAAATAAACTTTTCCAGTTTCGTGAACTGCCTTGTACACTAGCATGGGGAATTGTGCCTTTATAAGCATCAGTTCATCAGTCACTTACAGAGCCTCAGGAATGCCTCATGGTTGCTCTGCCTAAAGCTAGAGAACTGATATAAACACAGGATGCTTCCAGACAAGGTTTTTCCTGTGAAACCACTCTGCTTCATTCACAGGACTGGCCATGTGACTTCCTTTTGCAGCCCTCACCTATTTTCCTCCATTTCTTGCTTTCCCCCGGCTCCTGACCAGAAAACATCCATTACAGAGGGAGAGGCTGCATTCTTGCAGGATGCCTTTTGACTGGTAGAGCTTTGATCTGCCTCCCAGAAAACACCTCTAGAAAGAAGCCTGGGCCTTCTATGTCCACTGCTTATGGAGAATGAGCCTTATCGAAGGTTCCTTTTTACACAAAAAGCTAAGATTATAAAAGAAGGATGGAATATATTGCTTGTTGGAAGGAAAAAAAACTTATTGAAATAATATATTCTCTTGTTATACTCACTTGCCTTTCCTTTGCTTTTTTTTAATGGCTCCATTTCTTTTTAGCTTCAACAACAGCTTCCAGATCTGAAATTAAGCAAGCCAATTTTTTTTCTCTTATGAAAACCAGGTGATACAAAAACATCTCGGTTATTAAATTTCTGTGTGCTGAAAATGCTGAAGTTGAGGACACCTGTCGTATTGATACATTTGCAATGCTGAGGTTCACTTTTATAATGTATGAAGTAATGTTAATAATAATAGTATCTGTTGCTCCCTACTAAGTAAACACAACTACTTTCCAATAACTGAATTTCGGAAGGGCAGTTTTCTCAGGAACTGGGAGGATAGGACTTCCAAGTGGTGGTGAGTCTTGGGACATCTCCCCTCAAAAAGCAGGGACTGTGCTCATTTAATTTCAGAGGCTGAGTTGGGGGAAAAAGAGAAAGAGATGAGTACACAGTTTGAGCTTGGGTTTGATTTTTGTAACAAAGCTGTAAGACACAGCAGCAATGAAGCTGTTTTCGTCTGTTTGGCTCTAGTCCTGCAAGTATCTGTAGGGTGCTTCCTGAAGTCACAGATATGGATGTACAGATACAATAGCAAAAAAGGTAGATCAGGATGTAAACACTGCCAGATCATGAATACCTAGGTCATTTAAGGCCGATGTCCTTGTTTGATACAGAGGAACATCTGTTTCCATTTAGCACAGACCTGCTGTAATGTTAGACTGAAATGAATACCACTCTCTGTAAGTAGAGACATCGTTGACATAGCACCTAATGAAATGCTTCTGGAAGGGAAGGCATTTTAAAAGTTGTCAGAGAGATGCAATGTTTATGTGTAGTTGTTGCAGTGCATCCTGAGATGGGCAAGAGATGCCACCCAATTGAAACATTCATTTAAGGATTGTAGGGTTTCTCTAAAGAATGTGCTGAGAACAGGAACTGATGGGGGGGGGGATTTGGACAACTGAGAACCTTAGCCGGTACCATCCCACACACACATACTGAGAGCTGGACATTACTTGAATGAAGATTGAAAGCTAACACTACAGCACTAACATCAACAAGAGACCTGCAGACATCCTGTGACTGCTGTATTTAAGAGGAAGCTTCTGTAGCAGTATCTTTTTGTTATGAGTAAAAAAATATGAAGCTGATCCGCAGTTTGGTGTAGTGGACAGAATGACAGATTAGGACACATGAGATCTGGGTTCATATCAGCACTTGCCCATGGAAACTCATGGGTGTGTGTGTGTGTAACTGATAAAACCATTCCTTAAATGTTTCACTTACCTTGAAATCCTATTAGGGCTGCTATAAGTTGGTTCTGACTTGACTACATTCATTCATTTGATTTATTTAAAATAGCTCTATCCCACCTTTCTTCCCAAAAGGACTCAAGGTGGATAATACATGGAGGAATAAAAATAACTGAACTTGCTAAAATTTCCCATTCTAATCAATTATATAAATAATTATTGTGTTAGGGTTGTTGTAGGTTTTTCGGGCTGTTTGGCCGTGTTCTGGAGGTTTTTCTTCCTAACGTTTTGTCAGTCCCTGTGGCCGGCATCGTCAGAGGACAGGAGCTAGAAATCCGTCTGTGTCTGAGAATACAAAGTCTCCAATCTTCTCAACTAGTGTCTATATTAGAATGGATTAGATCAGTCTGTAGCCACAAGACTATGCTAATACAAAGTTCCAAATCTCTTGGAACTTTGATGGAAATCTTATTGTTTTATAGTTCTGGAATTCCTGTCAGTACTATTTAATTGATATTAGTACAGTATACAGTATGTGTTGCCACCTTTTACCCTAGAAAGAAGCTCTGAGCAGTGAGAGGCAGAGCAGTTTCCCTGAAAGTCAAGATGGCAGGCTGGGGTTTCTGAGCGGTGGCACCCACTTTATGGGATACAGATCCCAGGAGACCACCATCGTCTTTCAATGATGTTGGTATAGAAAAACCTTTCTGTTTGTAAAACTGTTTCCTTCTGTCTTCTGGGTGTGCTATATAGTGTTTTTGCTCTGTTCTTGTTTTGGTTTGGGCAGATTTTTGACACTTAGGATTTTTATATTTGTATTGCTGTTTTATGCTTTCATTTCTTTAATCTCTTTTTCTTTTCCTGGCACTGTGCTCTGGGGGTGGGGTGGGGGCAATTAATATGGCTTTCTCGTGCCTGGAACAAATACGTACTTACAGATGGCATTTTTCAAGGATTTCTCTCTAGTAATTAGCAGTTTCTGTGAGTCATCTAGTTGGATGGGCTATGCAGCATCAAAGAAGAAAAGCCACCGAATTCCAAATGTCAGGTCCTGTGGTGGGGGGACCTCCTCTCGGAGAATCCGTTACTGACTAAAGGAGGTCTGTGGTGGTCTGTGAGCCTCGTGCTCTTGCATGAGTTTACACTGTTTGCAACTATAGGCTGTTCTTAAATGTGCAGAGGAATATGGGGAACCATTGAATTGGCAGAAAAAGAATGCACTAGTTCTTTATTTAATAATCCAGTTGGAATCCCGGCATGTGCCTACTCAGAAGAAAGCAACACTGGCAGCTGTATATAAGACCCCAGTCTTACCTCAGAGCTTTATAAGGACTACCACTATGTGGCTACAATGGAAAAGCAGAGCTGCGCTCCTCTTCCACATTTGTGCATCCAGACATGATGGGGAAACTGCAGCCTTCCAGATACTGCTGGATTGGGGCTCTCGTCATCTCTCACCATTGGCTGTGCCTGCTAGAATTGCCTGGAATTCCTGCCCAATATTTGGCTGGGTGTGCTGTTCCCCACCTCTGGCTTCTATCAAAGGGCTGTGTTTTTCATTATCCATTAGACAGACAGTTTTCATTTCTGTAAGTAAGAAAAAGGGAAACCCAGAATTTTCAGAGAATCAGGAGATACTCTTTTAGCTTATTAAAACCTGCTTGTCTCTACTTCCTTTAGGATTCTTAAACTTGGGGCTTGAAATAGCCAAGATCTGAAAGTTGCTTCTTTTTTGCCCAGCAGGTGTCACCATTGCATGTTATTCACTCTTCAGTACTGAAAGTTCGTAAAATCAGGTCTTTAAATCCCCCGCACATACACACCCTTTTCATTTTGTTTTCTCAGTCTTGATTTCAAGGCAAATGTCCTTGTTAGCAAAACAAATATGATTTTGCCTGTGCTGAGGCCTGAAGACGTAGCTGCAACCTTCTCCTCGGCCTTGAAAATGGAATGCAACCATGGTGGTGGCAGCCCTATCTTCAATGCTGCTCAATTTCTACCAAACTTAGGGTGCAACTATCCAGTGAGGGAAATGTGA